GGACAGGGTAGGTCTGCTGGCCCCAAGGCGCACACCGCCAGCCCCAATCTGATGACTAAACCACAGGGGACTCATCGTCACCTCCGGGGTCAGCTGGCCCCGGAGAGTCACGCACCGAACACCACGCGAAGCAGCCAGCTGGGAGGCGTGTACAGGTCGTCAGGGGCCACGTTGGCCCTCTGGGCCGGCCAGTCAATGCTGGCGTAGTCCTCCACGTACAGCTCCTGGGGGCGGCATGCCTGATGAGCCCTGTGCCTGTCTGCCCCACTGGGCAACACCACAGGGGAGGCCCCACCCTACCCCACGCGCTCAGCTCCACAGGCCCACAGAGCAGGCTGCACTGCCAGCCGGGCCCTCACCTGGCGCAGGCTCTGGATGAGTGGGTCTTCCTGGGCGCTCAGTCGGATGGCATAGCAGTAGCTCATGGGCAGGTAGACCTGCCGGCAGTGGCACCACAGTGTGGAAGGGTGCACGGGCACCCAGGCAGGAAGCAGCCTGGAGGGACAGCACATCAGCAGGAGCCTGGCCCCGCCACCACCCCCGCTGCCCCAGGCCTCCCAAGCGTGGACAGGATGGTTGGCTGTCCAGGCCCAGCCGGCAAGGCCAGCACTCACAGCTGGTTCCCGTGGGGTGTGGTCAACCCCCGGGGGCCCTGAGGCACAGGCCGCTCCTGCCTTGGCCAGGTGCATCCTAAAGCCAGGAGTTCTCAGCTCCTAACTTCAGGACTGACTGGTTTCAGACTGTGACAGACAAACCACAGTGAAGTGGAACGCCGACAGCGAGAAACGGGGTGAGGGAGGGGCCTGCGGGACCGGCCTGGACTACCTGTGTGACTTTTCTGGAAATTGAAAACTATTCCCAGAAAAACTTTCTTTAAAACTCGTAGGCCCGAGCCTCTGACCATGACCTGCACCCATGCGCCATCCTGACGTCAGCACACCAGGCCAGCTTCCTGGTGGGGGAGCACCAGGGTGTTTTCTCCCTCCAAGCCTGGTCTCATGTCCAGGGCACTGGGAGGCGCAGAGGCGAAAACAGCCTCCCTGCTCCCGGCCCAGTTGGGCAAGTTGCCTCCAGCCTGGGGCCACTTCCCTCACGCTTTCGAGGGCTCCTCCACTCACCTTAAGGGGATTTTTTTACATTTTGGGTAGTGGTTCCAGCTTTTCTGCAGCTGGACTGGTTCAGGGGTCTGGTCCTCTGACCCTGCCACACCTGCCACACCTGACCCACCCAAACCCCCCCAAAAACTCCAGCAAAGACCAGCAGCGACGGCTGGGGCCACACCTCATGGGGCACAGACAACAGAGTCCCCACTGATACCAGCCTCTGACACACACACCCTCCAGGCCCCTGCCGGCTCCTTACACATCAGGGAGGCTCACGGTACAGCAGGCAAGCCCGCCAACGAGGAACGCTGGAATGACCCCAGGACACCTCCTCTCCTCTTCCAGAGTGGCCATCCCTGGGTCACAGGCCCCCCTACTCACAGGCAACCCTGTTCCTGTCCCCACCCCCGCGCTGTCCCTCTGCCACCGTCACCACCTCTCATGGCTGTGGAGGTTGGGCCCCAGGCCCTTTCATCAGGGCCTTGCTGTCACCTCCTGAGTGGTCCCTTCACTTCGCGCCTTTCCTCCACCACAGTCACCTAACGCAAGGGCCCCCAACCTCCCTGAGACCCTCTGGGGGGCCTTGACCCTGCTCAGAAGGGGGCTGTCCCACGGTCTCACCTACTGCAAAGGACAGTGGGGTATTTACATGCAAATGAATGTTTTCTGGGGAGATGTCACGGCCTTCACTACATAGTCATAAAATGCTACAGGACACTGCTTGTGTCAGACAAGAAAGCAGTGTCGATTTTGCTGAGCACCTGCATAGCTTGTGGCTCTGTTAACAAGAAGTCTCCTCCTAAANGGGCACTGGGAGGCGCAGAGGCGAAAACAGCCTCCCTGCTCCCGGCCCAGTTGGGCAAGTTGCCTCCAGCCTGGGGCCACTTCCCTCACGCTTTCGAGGGCTCCTCCACTCACCTTAAGGGGATTTTTTTACATTTTGGGTAGTGGTTCCAGCTTTTCTGCAGCTGGACTGGTTCAGGGGTCTGGTCCTCTGACCCTGCCACACCTGCCACACCTGACCCACCCAAACCCCCCCAAAAACTCCAGCAAAGACCAGCAGCGACGGCTGGGGCCACACCTCATGGGGCACAGACAACAGAGTCCCCACTGATACCAGCCTCTGACACACACACCCTCCAGGCCCCTGCCGGCTCCTTACACATCAGGGAGGCTCACGGTACAGCAGGCAAGCCCGCCAACGAGGAACGCTGGAATGACCCCAGGACACCTCCTCTCCTCTTCCAGAGTGGCCATCCCTGGGTCACAGGCCCCCCTACTCACAGGCAACCCTGTTCCTGTCCCCACCCCCACGCTGTCCCTCTGCCACCGTCACCACCTCTCATGGCTGTGGAGGTTGGGCCCCAGGCCCTTTCATCAGGGCCTTGCTGTCACCTCCTGAGTGGTCCCTTCACTTCGCGCCTTTCCTCCACCACAGTCACCTAACGCAAGGGCCCCCAACCTCCCTGAGACCCTCTGGGGGGCCTTGACCCTGCTCAGAAGGGGGCTGTCCCACGGTCTCACCTACTGCAAAGGACAGTGGGGTATTTACATGCAAATGAATGTTTTCTGGGGAGATGTCACGGTCTTCACTACATAGTCATAAAATGCTACAGGACACTGCTTGTGTCAGACAAGAAAGCAGTGTCGATTTTGCTGAGCACCTGCATAGCTTGTGGCTCTGTTAACAAGAAGTCTCCTCCTAAAGACACACTGAAGCGTTCACGGGTGAAACACGATATCTGGGGTTAACTATCAGTCACCGGCAAAAAGGCGGGAGGCAGAACACGGCACAGCACAGCCCAGAGCTGGCGCTGGGAGCAGTGCCGGGCCTTGACCTCTCTCGACCTTGGCACATGCTCGGAATGTCCACAATGACAGACAACATGCAAACATGGCGGTCTAGGTGACCAAGCCAGAGCTCCTGCTTCCAAGCCAGGGGTCTCTAACAGCCCCCCGTGCACCCCACCTGCCACATGGCCAGCCCACGGTGCCCCCCTCCCTACTCCCATCCATCCATGGGGCTCAGCCAAGCAGGGCCTCCGCCAGGAGCCTAATCCCACCCCACCCCACCCCACCCAAGGGGCCATCCCTCGTCTGGGTAGCAGGCAGCAGGGACCCAGGGCCGTCACTCCACTCAGTGAGGCAGGGGGACCTGGCCGCCCCGTCCCCGCAGAGGCAGGCGTACCACATCTCTGGTAAGAGCGTGTTGAGGCCTTCCCAGCTGTAAACGTTCAGGATCGCCAACCAGAACTTGCCCCAGGAGGGGATGGTCACAGCTCCACCTGGGGAGAGAACAGGCTCGCGTCACCTCCCTGTCACGGGCCCTCGGGAGTCCCGTGTGCCCCCGCGTGCATGAGCTGAAGGCAGGTCTGCTAAGGAGCCTCCAGCCCCACGGAAGCAGGTTCCAGAGCTGCTCATGACAGACGCGGGCTGGGCCCGGTGGCTCCCAGAGAGAGTGTATCCACAGCCCCACGAGCTACCTGGGAAGGTGAGGTGCCCAGGTACACACGGCAGCCCGTGTCTCGTGGGCCTGGAGAAGGGGATTAGGGGCAATGAGCACGCACACTTGGCCTCCTGCTCTTGGGATGCTGCCCCAACCCGGGTCCCCACTCAGCAGGCAGGTCGGGACTCCAACGTGGCTGTTTGTGACAGTCTGGCCCAAGTTGGAGCCACGCCAGCAGCACAGGTTGCAAGCACAGAAACACCAGGAAGTGACCAGGGAAGGAAGTGTGGCCCAACCACATCCCTCCACAGGTGAGGGCGAGATCAGAGGCCGAGGTGGAGCTCACGGCAGGAGTGAAGTGAGAAGGCGGGTCTCGTCCAAGTGCCCACAGGAGGCTTAACCTAGCCCGGCAGGTCTGAAGGGCTCCCACAGATGGGACACCCAAGGTGCCAGGTCAANGGGGGCCTGTGGCCTGGCATCACACTGCCAGGCCTCGTGAGGAGGGAATTTTCAATTTCAACAAACCCACAGGCAGGAAGAATGGCTGCCAAGGAAGCCAGCAGCCGGCCTACAGCCTCACCTGCATCTTCATGCCGTCCAGGCCCAGCCTGTGAGGAGAAAAGCCAGGTGAGGGGTCAGGCGGCCGAGGGCTGGGGTCAGCTGCGGGCTCCCGGCCCCCGGACAGAGGACAGCTTCTCCACCCCAGCATGCGGACGGGCACACACATGACTGAGCACGTCCCTTGACACCAAGGCCTTCCTGACGCTGGCCCGCCACCCAGCGGCTCCCCAGTCCTGCCTGCAGGACACGCCCAGAGTTGCTGCTTCCGGCTGCACTCACCACAGGTAATCGGGAATCCTGGACACGTGCTCTTTGAAAGGGTCGGAGGCCGGCCCGTCCGTGTGCCAGCGCACAAGCATGTTGATGGTTTTTGAGATCTGCAGGGGACAGGCCATCACTGCTCTGCTCCAGCCCTGAGGCTGCAACGCAAGCCCGTGGCTGGGAGGCAGAAGAGGGTCAGCCGCTGGCCACAGCAGCCTGCACAGCCAGCAGCCTGATAGGCCCTGAGCTCTAACCCTCCTCCTGAGCAGACTAGCAGTTGTGCAGGGAGCGAGGTCTCCATGGGAGGCCAGAAGGGACTGAGGGTGCGCACAGAGGGAGGGTGACAGGGAAGCCTGGCCAGTTGGCAAGCGGGCAGAACCACCATGTGGGTGCCAGAGCGGGCACATGGGGCCTGAGGGGCCCAGGCCCCGGGCCGAGGTGGAGACCAGAACTGTGTGGCGGGCGCTGCTGGTCAGAGCGCCTCTTTCCGAGCCCAGACCTGCCACCCTCGGATCTAAGTCAAGACCCAACTAAAAGCTGCATCTAGCTCAGTCAGAAGCGCTTCACGCAGCCTTAAATCAAAGCCAAACTCAAGATGCTGCTAAAAGGAACAGCTGACCGCTGTTGGGCAGCCATCGCTTACGGTCCACCGAGGTCCCATGAGGCCCAGAAAACGCCTGGGAGCAGAGCCGGGAGTAGGGCTCGGTGAACTGCACCAACTGGGTACACCAGGAACCAGTAGTTACAGCCCACCAGGGGCTCCCAACGGCTGCGTCCTGCACTGTTGCCCCGTGGCTGAGCCAGCTGGCATGCACCTGGCTTCCACCAGCCCCATGGCCCGAGGCAAAGCCGGGCCAGGAGCCCAGAGGCTCAGAGCATTGAGTTGCACATCACGGGCTCAGCAGGAACCAGGAATGAAACCCAAGCACCCCAGGTGCTCTAAACACCAGAAGGGAAGGGCCGAAGGATTTTTGGGGGGTAAACGGGAGGCTGGGCAGAAAGACCCTGGGAGAGGCCTCAAGGAGCAGTGTTCAGATGCACAGGTGGTAGGGATTGGAGGTGGGGGAGGGCCCTGTGGGATCAGTTGCCACCTATGAGGCACCCCCACTCCCAGCTGCAGATGCTGCCTCAGCCTCTTGCCCTGGTCCTCGCCCACCCCTGGTCGACACCCGAGGGCAGGGAGCACTGACC